TTTTGACCCATACAATGTATTGTTGGCTATTGCTACAAATATACCCCAGCGACTTAACACTGCTTTTGTGCTGCAGGCTCACATACATTACTCCAGATGAAAGTAAAAAATTCCTCCAAAACATGACATAAACATCAGAATGTCGTTACCTTCAGTAGCACGATGCACGATGTTAATCTCATGATTCATGACCGCACAGGACGGGAGGAACTCTTCCTGAAGTACCATAGCCTCAATACGCACTTCATAGCTGTAAAAGTGAACAGACGATCATAACTGACTTGCCTTTTGTGTGTGTTGTTAGGTGTTTTGTATTTCATTCATAAGAGAGATCTCACCATGGCACTTGAATCAGCAGGAACATGAAGGAATCGACCAGAGTCAGCTTATTTGGGTCTCCTTTGAATTCCCGCAATCTCTTCACCTAATGATTTATTGGTAGATTTATTGTAGATCCTTTATTATAATAGATATTACCTTTGCTGTCATCTAACACTTAATGTTAATCTTTAAAGCACTAATAATTTAATAATAATTAATAACAATCTTTAGCAAACTTAATGTCCATTTATTATGTTGTGATGAAAATAGTATGCATAGTATAAATTTAAATTTCTGCCATTTATCAATTCTTGTATATAACACACATAATTATTAGCCAGAAATATTAAAATTGGTGCCTCCCTAATTTATACCTCAACATAGACCCATTCATCTGATTAAAGATTACAGATAGTGCCAAGTACAGGCTCTAGTTAACAAAAATAAATAAATTAATAATAATAATAATAAAATACATTTAATATACTAAACATGTCTAGTACACATTCCTTATAAAGTGTCCATTGGCCCTAACACTGTTGTTAACTAAACCTAAAACTCAAAAATCATACTTAAAAATAATTTTTGTTAATTGAAGTAAAGCTGAAATACAATAAATTATAAATATAAGTAAATATAAAAAAATAAGCAACCATTAGAAATGTTGCCTTGGCTACTATTTGAAATTAGATAAGTTACTAATAAAATAAATAAGTAGTAAAATGACTAAAATATAAAGAGATACAAAAATTAATTAAAGCTAAATAGGAATAATTAAAAAAAATAAATAAATAGAAATGACAAAAGTACTTAACAAAATTACTAAAACTTAAACTGAATTTAAAACGAAAACTGAAAGTTAAAAAAATATATATATATTATGCAAGCTGTCTTTGTTTTTTCCATTTTGTATGGTTATTTATTTATCCTTTTTTAATTTTTTTTAAGTATTAAGATTTTAATTAAATGTTATGTGTATATTGTTCTGTTTTTTAAAAAAAAGTTAATAAAAACTGTTAAAAAAATTGAAAACTGAATGTTGATACTGCTCAAAATGTTAATACTAAAATAGTATACAAATAATACTAAAATAACACTCACTGGCATCAGCAATGCGTCTCCAGCAACCGCTTGTGATTGCATTTTATTGAGAGGAGGCTCTGATTTTGTAACTACATATACGTCACTTAATACATCAGTATGTCACTGCATGCTGATATCAAAACCTTGTTTCGGTGTAATGATTATTTGTTACAGGAGTTGTCTTTTAATGTTGTTTGGGACACATTAGGATGCATTAATGCAGCAAATACACTACAAATGCGATGTGGCTATACTGTATGCATCGCTGACTGCCAGCAAATGTGTCAAATGTGTTTATAACACACATTGTATCTTGTTTACTCCTGTATGTTTTGCTGTACATTTGTGATGTTATTAGCAGCTGCCATTCACCAGAAATGGGGCCATACACAAATACAGTGTACATGTAAGATAAGTCTCACCTCCTGTGCTTCTGGTAGAAGTTTGAGCAGTTCTTTCAGCGGTTCTGCTCCATATTGCTTACTGTTGCCCAGACGAATGTCTTCTACTATTGCATGATTGGATCTGAGGGAGAAAAACACATGTACAAAACAGACGATTCAGTTCTGGCTCTGCTTCAGCCATGCAACTGGTCAGTGCATGAGATTAACCCTTTGTAGGACACTTCAGTGTATGATCCAGAGAAACCTGTACCTTCACAATATTGGACAAATTACTATGTACTTACAGTACATCAAATTAAGCATAAGGTAAGGGGTATATTACACTGCATACCATCAACACTGGCTCTAAAAACTATATACAAGTCTGTATTTTTAATGAAGGTATGTCACAATAGCAATAAGCTAGGAATTGTGACTATACAAATTTATATGAATTATGGTGTCCACAAATCCCCATTACTAAACATTTGATATCCAACATAAAATAAATTCAAAGATCACTATTTGCACTCGACAAGAATCAAATCCTGCTAAAAGTTCACTCTACTGTTTATCGGTCCGCACTTTTGCCTGCTTCGCTGAAAAAAAAAGACAATTATTACTCCTGATTAAATGTCAAGTCTTCAAAAATATGATGTAAACATGAGAACTTAGTATGTTCTTATCTTCAGTAGCCCGAAGCACAATGTTCATCTCACGACTCATTACTCATCATAATAAAACAAGTACTAAAATTACTAAAATTTAAAGACATATAAAAATGTAATCTAAATAGAAATATTAAAAAAACTAATAAAAATAAGTGCAATACTTAACAAAATGACTAAAAAGACTAAATGAAAAATTAATTCAAAATGTTAATAAATACTAAAACAGTATTTAAATAATACTAAAATAACACTCAGTCCTAGTACCTCAGCCTATTATCTAGTGATGAAAAAAACTCACTTAACCTCAAATTGCTGACTGAGATGATATTTAGTGACATATTATGGAAAAATGATCTTATCCTGCATTTTACATACGCTGTAGTAGTAATATAGATATTTGAAGAACTGTTTGATTACCAACTTCTTCAAAATGCCTTCTTTTGTGTTCAACGGCACACAAAAAATCCCGTGCAAGCAAAACACAATGATTTTTAACCATTTAACTACTGACTGATTGCCAAAAGTGAGCACATACTGTATACTGTCCTCCCTGGAAATCTGCATTGAGTACATTTGAGCTGTTTTCTAACATGTTTTGGTGATTACTTCTCTTCATAAAACACAAAATGAATATGTCTCTAGATAACTAACTGATCACAGAAGAAAGCATTGTCTTTTTGCATAATCGTTTACAGTGCTGCTGTCTTTGAGGATGTGGAAAAACCTGTTCAAAAATAAACAAAATCTAGTACTCGTCGCAGTGAATGCAGACGGCATCCTCATGTGAACTTGCAAGCATCAATCAGAACCTGAAAGCTATTGATCTTTACACAAGAGCATCGGATTTCCCTTGACCGCCAGATCCTATTTCTGTGCTGGAGCTCAAGTACACGCAGGTTTTTACACATGATGACGCTGATTAACTTACTTCTTGAACTGTTTGAGGAAGATCCCAATGTTCATTCCTCTCTTGGAGTCCAAGATGCTGATCTGGGAGAACAGAGGAATAGAGATGGTGATTAAAACGGATGGAAAGATACACAAAGCACAGACTGTGTGTGTTCTGAGCAGACGTGTAATTCCCATTCAAATTTTTGCCTTTCAGGTTTTTGAGGCACGCTGATTTGAATGCAACTTCCAAATAAATAAATCTGCTATCTTTGATGTTGCAAAATTACTAGGTGACACTTTTTACTTATTATACAGTGTCCTTGTTACATGTTACATATGCATAATTACATGTAACTAACCCTAAACCTAACCCTAACTTTATAATAAGTACATTGTTCTATAGTAAGTTAATTAATATTACTAAGTACTTAAAGGTATAATTACACTGTAACAGGGACACCTTAAAATAAAGTGTAACCAATCAGTGACACTCTAAAATAGTGTTTTCAGTATCTTATAGTTTATTTTGTGGTGTGCATTATGAACACGAACCGCTCCATGTTCACTTTGTTGCTTTTCCAAACATTCTTGGCTTTGGCTTTTGTTACCATACAAACCGAAAGGCAAAAATAGATGCCAGCATTTCTACAGATTTATATGAGGAGGAGCATATTTAAATTTAAACTATTATTTGAATGTAAACTATTAATGCAAAAATAAAAGCCTTGAGAGTAACTGGACCATGCAACATGAAAGTGAACCACTTATTATTATTATTTATATTACTATTATTTATTTATTTTAAATAGTGTGGTAATTAGGTCCAAAAAATAGACAGTTTACTATTAAGGGCACACTAAATTAAAACTGTATCACTAAACTTAATAATAAAACAAAGTCGTGTAGCCCTGCTACTCGTTAATATAAAGTGCTTTACAAATTTGCTGCGCATCAATGCAACTAAATTTAATGAAGGAATGCAACAGGAACGAATATCGTTCTAGTTTCTAGAAATGTTATGAATTTTTATTTGAAATCAATCTTAAAGGGCTAGTTCACCAAAAAATGAAAATTCATTCAATCCGTTAAACTTTCGTCCATATTCAAAATGCAATGACGATTTTTGTAATAAACCCTGAGAAATTTCTGTCCCTCCACTGAAAGCCAAAATGTTCACACTTTAAATTATAGATCAACTGTGTTTGCTTGATGCATAAGAACAAACCTCACTGGCTCTCATGCATCAAGCAAGCATGTTTGAGCAATGTTTATTTAAGAATAAAAGCCTAAATTAAATCGGTTCATCATACAAAACAATTGTGTTTCTTCAGAAGACTTGGATTAAACTTCTACATTCATATGGATTACTTTTACAATGTTTTGAAGCATCAGAGTTTTGGTGTAATGGACTTTCCATGAAGGGACAGAAATCTCTCGAAGTTTCGAAGATGAAAGAAAAAGTCTTTTGGGTTTGAAACAACATGAAGGTGAGTAACTGATGACAGAATTTTCATTTTTGGGTGAACTATCCCTTTAAATGCTGTCCTTGTTTTTTCTCATTAACACCATATCAGCATTAGGAAACCCTCTGTAGTGACTCATTGAGATCTTAAACTAACTAACATGACACAGTCATTTTAGTGGCAACTAAACAGACACACAATCTGTCACTCTCTCTCTGACACACATTTACACGAGCTGTGTGTGATACGTGTAATTTGTGATGCATCAGAAACTCAAAGGAGTAGCTGGGTGGTGTCTGAAATTACAAACGAGATCACACACACACGCTCCCCACTCCACAAAAGCTTCATTAGATCTGCGCGGGCACGCTCCGTGCCTTCGTGGATAATTACAAAGCTACTCAGACCAGCGTCAACCACACAAAACAACACAAAAACACAGCTGGTCGCTTAGACACAAATCGGCAAGCTCACAGGAGCATATGTTTTGGGTAATAGGGACATGTTTGTCTTATGTGGAGGTGGAAAACAGAGTTGCACACACCTAATAATCTTTCTTATAAGCTAGTATAAAACATGTTCATACATGATAGGAAATGCATACATTATAGGCAATTGTTAGCATACAAAAATACATCATATCATACAAAATAACCATCCAAATCTTGATTTAATGACTTTTTGTAAGGATTTGTACATAATGTTTACACTGGGATATAAACTGTATTAAACTGTTATAATACCAAATCAGGTAAACTCATTAAAAATATGATGCAATTCTTTTAATCTTATAGATATTCATTCTATGCACCTAAAAGGATTCATAAATATTGATGTGAATTGATCTCTGAAGTTGCTTTCAACTTCAATTTTTACATAGTTAAATATGTTCTAAATACATTTAAAAAAACAAACGTTTCAGTGTCTGTGCAAACTTACAAAAATGCATGTATGCACGAATACCAACAATTACTAATAAAATCGTGTTGAATATAAAGATGTTCCACTGTAACTTAATATAGTCGATTTCAAAATGGAAAGCAATCTTTGCTGAATTATAAACAATGCAAATAGTTCAGTGATGTAAAGTACAGCATTCATTTTTGGGAGAGGTACAGTATAACTCAGTTTAGAAGATGCATATCAGTACTGATGTTCTGTAAGTGTTGATTATGGGATTTGTTTCTCAGATCTTAAATAATCAGTGACCCAAGTCTACAAGTGATTATACAGTGCACACTGCAAATGTTCAACACGTCATTTTCCTAAATATCCTTTTTGACAGATTAACTGGATTAAATTGCACTGACTTCCAAAGGCCACAGAGCTGAAGCTCTTCAGAAGGCAGAGAAAACGCAAAGAGAATCTCAAACCTGGGTATCTGGTAGAGATGCATGATTTATTGATGGTCAAATCCATATCGGATCATAGGTAAAAGAAAAATTAAGCCAGTAAATTCCAGGTAACTGGTCATGGGGCCACATGTTTTTTTTTTTTAATCAATGTCATGCTTCTTTATTTTTGCTGGCTCTGAGAAAGCTATACTTATCATTGTGCTTTTATATAATAAATTTGTCCACAGGCATGTATCATTCTTTACACCAGTGGTTCATAGCAGGCCAACATTTGCCATTTCAAGCACATAGACATCTGAAATTTTAAGGTTCAATTTTACAAAATGTATATTTATATCTAATATTGGCCAATATTGATATATAAGCAATTACTGGTTATCAGTACTGACTTATCTTTCCACATTTGGTGCATCCCTAATATCTGGTAGCATTGGGTTTCTGTAACACTCATAATATGTAATTTATAGTGCGTTTCGTGGCAGTTTCAAAGTGAAATGTCACGTGAGTGGCACTAAAATGCACGTTACAGGCATGAATTGCAGCATTTTTATTAGGTTGGTTCAGTTGTTGTGGCGGTTCAGAATTCAAATGTTCAGTGATTGTCGCTTAAAGGTTAATGCTCTATCCTAACATTCCCCCTACACCGAACCCAACCCTAAACTGGCAAAATGCATTCGCTGATGCAACCGTGCTATTTTAACTTCCTTTTACGCAGCCTTGAGCTGTTTTGTTGAACCGTAGTTTCACGGGATTTGTACCGGCGTGAAACATAGTATCACGTGAGCTACAGAGCAAACCTACGGTGACGTCAACGTTCAAAAGTATCAGTTTTCAAATCTCACACCATGTTACAATTGTGCTTAAGTGATGAAGTGCAAGGAATTGTGCGAAAATGAGGCTTTCTTGATCGAAACTCTGGCCCTGTAAATCATGCTTTGTGTGAAATTCTTTTTGCTTGGAATAATTTGCCTGGGTGTATTAAACAGATACAAATTCAAAGTATTTTTAGAAGGGAAGTTAAAAAATGGCATTTTTATGATTGATTTATAGAATTTTGTTTGGTGAGTTTGGATGTTGATTGCACTCCATTTATGATTTCTTCGTCCACTGTTGAGGACCACAATGGAAATAAGCCTAGGGCTTTTTTGTGTATATTATCCTCGACAGTTTTGAAATGTGTATGAATAAGCCTTTATGGGCTTTTTTGTATTATGTTTTAAATGTTGTCAAATAAAACAAACAAAAAGGAATAAAAGCTGTCAGAGTTTTACTGCCTCCAGTGTTCATTTCAACTGGAAACTACAGCCATTCGTACGTATAAGGTACGTTTTTTGAGATTTTGCAGAAACGTAGGTAGAGGCATGTATTTCTAACGAGCCTGGGGAGATCTTAACACAGGTTATTCTATTCAGTCATTGATAAAAATCAATTCGACTGAAATAGGAAGTTTCAAGACTGCTGGGAGTGCAAAACATACGCCTCCCGTGTAGAGACAAAATAAATGACACTGTCTAACAAGCTGCAGATATTCCTACCTGATCCTTGCTCTCCTTAAATGAACCTCTGGATCTCCCAGGACGAGGATGTCCACTGCTTGTCTGGGTTCGAACCTCCTCTTGCTGGCCAAAGAGCTCCTCCACTGTCCTCACGTCTATCTGATACTGCTGCTGTCTCACTGCTAGAGTCCAAATGTTGGGTTTTCCCCGAACCTTCTCTTCTGGAATGGTTTTCCAGAAGAAGCTCCGCACCCGTCGTTTCTTGCGTGAAGCATGCGGTTGAGCCTGGGGTGGAGGTGGAGGAGGCGGAGGCGGTGGTGGAGGGCAAGAAGTGCTGTCATGTCCATGACTAGGGTCATTTGTGGAGGTTGTAGAGGGTTTAAATGGCAGCGGTTTTACTATTGGTGTGGTACAGTCACTTGCCGACTCCTCCGCAGCTGTCATGCTTGCCATGACAAGCATTACATTAGCAATGACACCAGTCCTGGAGGACCAGGATGTGAGGGGAAATTTATACAACTCCTAACAATTCGGGACAGCCTCTAGGTGGTGTCTGTTGGAGTCCCAAGGTCTCTCTCACTCATAGTCGCTAACACAACTAACAGCCGGGTAAATAATGAGTCTTTCCTCTAGCCGAATATGCGCGGCGTTCATTCTTAATTAGAATTTAGTGCAAAGGATTTAGAACTGAATGTTGTCACAAAACTGTCTGCTCTGACAATAATGAGGAACGATGGACACGGGTGTTTCGCAGCCCCCTTAAGCCAATGTCTTGACATTCTCAAATATTTTGTCTTCACTTCTTCTACCTAGTCCCATGATGCCGTGCTGTTGCTTCCAAGCTTTTGCCCACCGCGGTGTGGTCAGAGGTCAAACCCTTGAGACTGCAAGAGGGACAAAACACACACACATATACAAAATTAAAATTACTGTGGTGCAGTCAGGCGAAGGAACTTGGAACCTACAAACAGAGGAAATGAGAAAGTAACAGACATCAAAAGAGATGTGGTTGTACACTTAAGGAAAGGCCCCAGTAGGAAATGCTATTGTTCACTGGGGCCAGCCTGCTATGTGTAAAAATGATCTTGACAGACGAACCAAATCTTCACTAATGAAAACTCACACAGGGAACTTTCAAGGGATTTGTACTTCTCATGGCAGCACTCATCATCAAATAACTTTACTTACATAACACACTGTAGTTACATAACACGTGGCTACATTAAAGGAGTAGTTCACTTACAGAATACCCATGTCATCCAAGACGTCTTCAGCCGCAAAGTATTTAAGGTTTTTGTAGAAAACATTCCAGGATTTTTCTCCATATAATGGACTTCAATGGGGTCCAATGGGTTGAAGGTACAAATTGCAGCTTCAAAGAGCTCTACACGATCCCAGCCGAGGAATAAGGCTCTTATCTAGAGAAACCATCACTCATTTTCTAAAAAAAATAAACATTTATATTCTTTTTAACCACAAATGCTCGTCTTGCTCTAGCTGGACTCCACGCATGCTAACACCAGCTAAAATACTACTGAATGCACCTATACAATGTAGCTAAAAAGTGTCAAACATGGTAATCAAGAACGCTGCTCAAGGAGTAAACGATCTAAACACTGTTCTTGTCTATCTGCTGGTAACTCATTTTATGCTACTATAAATTCATATTGGTGAACGTATTAGCCATTCAATGCAGAATTACATAATTAGAATATTTTCATACTGGTGATTCAGTCGTGCCGCATCTGTTATTTGAATATGCAAAGCAGCTGACATCAAAGTAAAGTGAGGTTGTCATGGAGACCAGCCAACAACCAGTTCTCAAAAAAAGCAGCTACTTCACACAAAAAAATGTGCAAAGATATACAAGCAGATCTGTAAAAAACAAAACAGATATTGCTTATTTTCTATTATTTTGATCATGTATAACGTACAAGACCCTGGTGAGCAGCTTGCATTGGTCTGCACATATCATACGGCTCAGGTGTGTTAGTATCACAGACACTGAGAAAGCAGAGACTGCAGTGAATGGAACTGAGTTTCATCTTATGTGCTGCTGTCAGGAGTGATGTACTGCCGCCACAGCATTGTGTTATGTAACCTGTGTAGTTCACAGAGAGGCTAAGGGGTCATAAAAGTATCATTTCAGGGAAAAAGCAAAAACACTGTAGTGGTAACATTGTAACATTGCTATTTGTTAATGCTGGGATCGATCAATGCAGAAGATGTTAGGTTAGTTTTTACTGACAAAGTTAACTGTGGTGAAAAGATGTTCTAGAAACAGATAACACAAGACACCAAGTGCTGAAAACCAGAGCTCATCATACTGCATCAGGCTCTCATTCGATCCTCTAGGTTTTTACTTATTAAAAGACAACTGACGTCACAGGAAGACTCTGTTTCCGAGTTTGGCACAAGCTACTATGCATAATTTATTCATATGTAAAAGTAGGTGTATTTTTCCTTTTAAAGTCATCTTCTTCAGAAGAGTTATGCTATATGGTGTTTTAACATGGTTTTGTCAAATAATTGGAACATATACACTACCGGTCAAAAGTTTGGGATCAGAACAGTTTTTAATGTTTTTACAGGAGTTTCTTCTGCTCATCGAGGCTGCATTTATTTGATCAAAAATACAGGAAAAAATGTAATATTGTGAAATATTATTATGATGTAAAATAACGTTGTTTTTTTTAAATATACATTAAAATCTGATTTATTCCTGTGATGCAAAGCTGTATTTTCAGCATCATTGCTCCAGTCTTCAGTGTCACATGATCTTCAGAAATCATTCTAATATGCTGATTTATTATCAATGTTGGAGACTGTTGCGCTGCTTAATATTGTTTTGGAACCTGTGATGCTTTTTTCAGGATTCTTTGATTAATAAAAAGTTAAAAATAAGAGCATTTATTTTAAATATAAATCTTTTCTAAAAATATACACTACAGTTCAAAAGTTTGGGGTCAGTACATTTTTATTCTTTCGTTTTTTGAAAGAAATTAAAACTTTTATTCAGCAAGGATGTGTATATATATATATATATATATATATATATACTGTATGTGTGTGTGTGTGTGTGTGTGTGTACAGATCCTAAATGTCCATGCACTGTGTTGGCTGGAAAAGAGAGTGAAGGGTGGTGTCTTTGCTGCAATGTCAGTAACAGCACACAGCAACACACCAGATCTGTCCACGATTATAAACGTAATATGCTAGAAACACATTTGAGGGCATATTAAAATAACACGATCCTTTTAAGATAAATCTGACACTATAATAATATGACTTAGATTCACACTAGACATCCAATTGGTCACTCGTGAGAAAATGTGGATGAAGGAAACATAACTGTTTATGAAATGAATGAACAAAGGGATAGTTCACCCAAAAATACAAATTCTGTCATTTACTCATCCTCATGTCATTCCAAAACCATTAGACTACTATTCATCTTGAACAGAAATTAAGAAATGTTTTATATTCTCTCATCATTTTTGTCCATCCATTCAAAGTCCACACAACAAAACTTTCATGCATCAACAAGTACAAAAAACAAGGTCTTAAATCCTAATGGTTTTAATTACTGGCCCCTTTCTGTATTGTGATTCACATGTTCTTTTGTTCTTTGTTACACACAATCATTTGATATTTTTCTGCCTGCTGCAAATCCTGATTTTTTTTACCTCATATTGGAGTGATTTTCCAAAGGTGCTGTCACAAATACAATTTCTTTTAAAACTGTTGAAACAATGAAGCATGTCCATGTTTCTACAGTATGTTGGATTATTTTTAAATACATGAATAATGCCATGATGCATTACATGATGTAGACAGTAGAATACTTTATTTTACTGATAAAAAGAGAGGCTGTTGTTTTTGCAGCTAAGTCTCTGGACTATGATTTAAAATCGACCTCGTCACAAATCTGATTGCTACAGACATTTTTAAGTATACTTGATGGATTTATGAGCACATTTGGAAAGAATGGGACAGTGTGTTAATAAACAAACAAACACACACTCTCTCACACACACACTCACACACTCTCTCACACACTCACACACTCTCACACACACACTCACACACTCACTCAACTCACACACTCTCACACACACACACACACACACACACACACACACACTGAAGTGAAGTAAGCAACTGTGAAACTGAAAGATGATCCGGCAGCAATTCTTCAGAAGACACTCAGAGGCAGCAGAAGATACAAAAGTGTATTCATTTTCATCTAACATAAACAGTGTTGGGGAAAGTTACTTTTAAAAGTAATGCATTACAATATTGCGTTACTCCATAAAAAAGTAACTAATTACGGTACTTAGTTACTTTTTATGGAAGGTAATGCGTTGCGTTACTTTTGCGTTACTTGTTAAATCTGGACAGGGCTTGCTTGTTTGTTTTTAAAATAAAAAAGTTATATCTTTGGCAAATATCAAAGCCCTTTCACAGCAAAAGTGAAATGAATAAGCCTCAGGCTGAAGGGAAAGTATTGCGTTACTTATTTGAAAAAGTAACTCAGAGATTCTCTTCTAAATTAAAAAGTAATGCGTTACTTTGCTAGTTACTTGAAAAAAGTAATCTGATTACGTAACTCGCGTTACTTGTAATGCGTTACCCCCAACACTGAACATTACAGTAGACCTGCTTGCCTTTGGGTCCGTCTAACAGAAACACAGACAATCATCTTCTATCCAACTACAACTCTTCAGACAGTCTTGCCACACTGTTACCTGATGGAACTGACACCGAGGTTTGAAACGCTCTTCTCGTAGATTGATTTCCAGTACGTCTGGTAAATGAGGCCCGAGGCAATAACCCACACACCGGATATCTAATACTGTTCCTTCAGAGGAATATCTGGGTGCAATGAACAGAACCAAAACAAAGACCCTTTGAGAGATTAATAAATACTTGAGCAGATTCAAGTCTTAATGGTGCTTGTGCTTTGGATTCAGCATTTGGTGCAAGTGTGTCTCTGTATGCCAGCCATTTATCAAAGTCCAAACATCCACAGGGTCTTGAGAAGATTAAGCTGCTTTCATAAAGAACACTGATAGAAGCCGCAGGTTTTGTTTAAGACCCAGACATGCTGACGTCATCTGCTGTGCAAATCTTGAGGCCGTTTCTGTATCAAACATTCATGTAATGTCAAGTGTGATGCTGCTTGATGATGATGATTTAGAAAGGCTAATTAAAGGGGAATCATCATCTGTAGAGTGATACAGATCAAGCTCTCTTTAAGTTCCTGCATACTGTATCTTCAGGCCATTATATTCTATAAATTGTGTATGAGTAAAACATTAGTGAGGCCATTATCACCATCAAACTATTCTACTAGTCAGTAACTGAGGCCACAATTATCTACTACTCTAAAAGCAGACGTTACATAAAATGGAATGTTATTGTTGCAAATTGTGCTGATAAATATAACTTAATGTTACAGTGTACAACCGGCAGGCATTTAGCAATCAATTCTGGAAGCATCAGTAAGTGAATAAGTTTTACATTGTATTGTATTCCAGGAAAACTGTTTATAAATATAGCTTTAACGTACTTTATAGAAGCCCCATTTCCAGTTATTATTGTGTATTTCAAATTTGTAATGAAAACTTATAGTTTATATGTAATGAAGGAATAGTTCACTCAAAAATGAAAAATGTCTGGAAATGTTCTCATCCTCAGGCCATCCAAGATGCAGGTGAGTTTGTTTCTTCATCAGGTTTGGAGAAATGTAGCATTGCATCAGTGTCTCAGCAATGGATGCTCTGCAGTGAATGGGTGCCGTCAGAATGAGAGCTGATAAAAACACCATAATAATTCGAAAGTAGTCGTCATGGATAATATGGATAGCTATTGATATCGTAGATATCTATTATGGATTATGGACTTGTATTTCAGCCGGAAGCAACAATTTGAAGTTAAAAACATCTTAATGCTGGATTTGTTTCAGCTTTTGTCTTCTCCAGATGTTAACTGATGGACTGGAGTGCTGTGGATTACTTGTGGATTATTGTGATGTTTTTATCAGCTGTTTGGACTCTCATTCTGACGGCACCCATTCACTGCAGAGCATCCATTGCTGAGACACTGATGCAACGCTACATTCCTCCAAACCTGATGAAGAACAAACTCATCCTGATCTTAGATGGCCAGCAAATTTTCATTTTTGGGTGAACTATTCCTTTAACATTTAATGAAATCTATATTGTACATATTTCTGGCACATACAAACATTGTGAGAAACATCTTTGAAAAATCAAGAAATGATTTTGCATACACATTAAAATATATACTTTGTGAATACACTGTGATGACAATGTACGTTTGAGTATGGAATTGTAATATAGTTGTGATTTTGTACTGATGATATGCACACTATGCACAAAACCACATAAACACTGGCAGCATAATATGAAATGTTGAGCTCAAAATGCAGTGCATCTTTAATTTTATAAACCTCTCTTGGTCTGATTCTATAGGTGATTTTTTTTCTTCTAATGTAACAAGTTAAATGTTTTTTCTTAGTGTGATAGTGTCTGATTTCTCCATGGCGGCTCTGATTAATCTTCTCCTTATCAAATTTAACCACAGCTGGGGGGCAGGGTGAGGCTTGACCCAAATACAGATTGAGAGGAAGATATTATAATGAAGAGATGAAGAGGAAATCAGATAAGAAACACATCTGGACATGCATTTGAGAGAACTTCAAATTAATAAAATCATCAAAAATAGGGCATCCAGTCACATAATATTATAATTTATAAATGTATATAGGATTTTTCTAAATGTAAAGACCGATGTTTTAACAGAAGCAGTGCTGCTGGGAGCCGGTGAGTATCCAGCATTAGAAAGCTTGCTTCTCAAAGCCTAGCGATCTCTATTGATCACAAATAAAGCAGCAACAAAGACCACCTAACAACTACACTGTACATAATCAAACAGAACTCAGGGAAATCTTCAAGAATTCCTAGAAGACAAACTAATGCTCAAAGATGCAAAGTTCCAGAATGATCTAATTCACAAAGTACAACCATTTCTGTACATCACACACTAAAGCATCAGTCAGAACAAATCTGATATGAGAAGGAACCTTTAATGTGTCCTTCAAGGGAATTTCTGTGAAACCCATGAGGGATATTTGAGCCATGAGGATCATCCTGTCCACTTGGGAACGCTTGAAAAGTGCACTGACTGGGAAACTGCACTAATGAAAAAGCTCCTCGCTGTCAATCACTAATGCTGCATGTTGAGCTGTGGGCATTTATACTAGTTCTTCAGATGCTTCGCTTTAATGTGAACTGAATGAGTGTATAGTTTGCAGTCTCTCACACATGGACCTAATGTGAGGACTAGCAAAACACACACAAACATGCTCATATCACAGTCACTCACCGCTAACAGCCAATACACGTGTTCTCGACCACAAACAGATAAGATTTTCTGTCTCTCACAAGTCACTGCAAACTCCACCAAATGGTTTAGTCCCCATAGGAACAGCTAGTAATAGTAGACAGTGAAATGACCGCAATAAAACATAAAAAGCCTCATGTGCAAACAAAGAGAGTTGGAATAAAAGCACACTGGTGTAATCCAACCTCCCGGAATACCAAAACAATTCTAATGCATCTTGATATGTAGCAAAATTACATTCACATTTAATATCGAGCGGCTGTGCAATAGAACAACATACTGGATTTCTGATCATTTTATACAGGGACGTGAATCAGACAGTGGGGTCGATGGCAGGACGCACTTTGGTTGCTATGGTGACAGCAGGTGGGAGGGGATGCTGAAGTTTATATGTGTGCAAAGGAAAGAGCCAGATGCTTGCTGGTGAATTTAGTCCCTGTAGAGCCCATTAGAATTAGATAGATGAAGTAAAACAACTACTAGAACCGTTCACCATGACGGCAGTGTTGTTATTGTTCATTCAAACTAAAACTATTAAAAATCTGTTTTGGTATGAAATGAAATAAATTCTAAATATTGAAATACTGAAGAAACATTATATGGATACAAATGTGAACGTAAAAAGCTTGGGAAATTAGAAATGCTGCATTGGCAACTAACTGAAATAAAAAAAATGAAACTAAACTTACTAGAATTCAAATAAAAATAAATTGAAGCTAAATAAATGTATTTAACAAAATGAGATAAAACTTAAATGAAAACTGAAAACATAAAAAATAAGTGTTTTCTGTTCAGATGCTGTATTTCTGTTATTGTTATTAATTCTGTCTGTGAATAGAAATTTGAGCTTTAATATGTCTGTGTTTATTGATTACAAATACACACTGTGATATTTCTTGAATAACTATTAAATGTCACCAATTATTTACCAAAAAAGGAAAAAGCTTAAAAAAACCGTAGAAATTTAGAAATGTTGCATTGGCGGCTAACTGAAATAAAATAAGGTGAAACTAAAATAATTAAAACTCAAATAAAAAAATTAATTAAAGCTAAATAAATGTATTTAAAAAAATAATGCAAATGACTAAAACTTAAAAAATGAAAGCTACGGTAATTCAAAATACTAAATATTGTATATTAGTAGGCCATATAAATAATGCTATAACATCACTGCAAGGCGGGTATACTGTTGTTTTCTGTTCAGATGCTGTATTTCTGTTATTAACTGTTCTGTCTGTCTATGAATAGAAATTTGAGTTTTAATATGTCTGTGTTTAGTGATTACAAATACACACAGTGATATTTCTTGTACAGTTAGGAATAACCGATAGACGTCACAAACTATTTACCAAAGAAGGAAAAAGCTACACCGTCAGAACCGTCAACAATCCACAAATTCACCGTCATGCTAAGATAGTGTTACCATGGTAATCTATCAAGTCAGTACTTTGGAGGCACTACTTTAGGGTGTGTTACCGTGGCAATGTGACAACAGACAAGCGCACCCCCGGTGACCTCACCCTCAGGGAAAACTGCTCCTGAATGGATGGTCTCCAATTCATCTCACCATGAGAAATGGGATGGGCTCCTAAAGAAGCTGGCTTCAGAGAATTACAATAAAGCACATCCCAATCTGTGACAAAGCACTAGGAACAGCTCATCATAAAGAGCCAGCCAGCAGCAGGAACCTTCAAATGTCTATTTTACAGTTGTGCTGTCAATTCACGTTTATAAAAATGCCGTGACTTATGACAGATTTCAGATGATGTAATGTTTGCAGACCATGGTCAGGCGCAATAAAGGTAAATAAAGGAGGCACTGAAGGCTTCTGAGCAGGAACCGTGCTATAGTTTTCTTATTAAAGTCTGAGCAACACGTTGAGATTACAGAGGAGCTGACTCATGAGGTTCCTCCAGTAACTGTGATCTTTTGGGACGTGTCCTGTGGCGTGACAGAGATCACACTAAAGGCTACAGAACTAAAGCCGAGTGTTAATGAGAAGGAGGGAGAGTGATGGCCGAAACTGTAGAATCAATAAATGAATACACCTGTCAATCTGCACTACACACACACACACACACACACACACTCACT